GGCATGTGCCCTGACTGGGAATTGAAGTGGGATCTCCTGGATCCTAGGTCGATGCTCAATCGCTGAGCCACGCCCGGCCGCACTGCTGTTTCTTTTTAAATTCCTGTTTCTTCTTACACACAAGTGGAGATTCAAGAGGCTGAATCTCATGCAGTTGATCCCGTTGAGCCAGGCGGGTTCACAGGTGATATGACAAGCCTATGGACTGGTTGTCAGGTGGGTTGGGGGCTTCCTAGGGGTTGTGAGCATGGCAAGTATTCTGCAGCTTGTCTTGTCTAAGACACAAGGCAAACCATCTTTCATAAGAGCTGGTAAAGATGCCGGTTCCAATAATCACAGCTTGACAGCACTAAAGTCTCAACGGACGGAGCTTCACTGAGTGTTAGCAGGATTTGGGAGGCCTGGTTTCTATTTCTAGCACCTTTCCAATAAGGAGGTCATGCGCAATAACCAAGGACTCTTTCTGTCACAAGTGAAGAGCAACTTCAACAGGCAGTGGTCCAAAATGGAATTCGCTGGCTCAGGCATCTGAAAAGCCCAAGGGCAAATCTTGTTTCTGCTTGGCTCCATCCAGAGGTCAAACAGTGTCAATGTCATCACATCATAATGTCTCTCTCTCTCTCTCTCTCTCTCTCTCTCTCTCTCTCTCTCTTCAGAGCTACTTTCCTCAATGTTGACTTCATTCTCAGGCAGTCTCTTCTGTCCTGGTGGCAAGAGGGGCACCAGCAGCTCCAGGCAGGCATCCTTTCTCCTCAGCAGCACCGCCTGGAAGTGAGATTCCGTCTTCCCAGTGGTTCCACCCAAGTCCCAGAGCCCAGTCTCATTGGCCTGGCTTCCTTCACCTGTGCATGCCTGAACCAATGGCTGGGCCAGAGGGATGCAAAGCTTCGACTGGCCAGCCTTGGGTCACAGGGCCACCCCTGGAGCATCACCATCCCCTGTCACATGAACTAAGTGACAGAAAGTGGTTTCCCAAAGGAAAAGTGGGGTGCTATTCATTGAAGAAAGATAAGTGGATCCTGGCAAAAGCAACACCAGTGTTTACACCCCTTTATCTGTTCCTTTCTGTTTCCCAGTCTCTAAAAGGATGTGCTGTTTGTAAAGTAACCCTCCAAATAATCTCTGAGCTTACAAACTTTTTTTTGCTCGTGACTTCTAGAACATGCTTTTTTAAATTGAAGAAAAAAATTAAAGCGAGGTTCACAAAGCACAGAATTAAACATTTTAAAGTGAACAGTTCAGTGGCATTTAGTACATTCACAGTGTTGTGTAACCTCCACCTCTGTCTAGTTCCAGGATATTTTTACCACCTCAAAATAAAGCCCCATGCCTGTTAAGGAGGGATGCTCCTCGATCTCTCTTCCTGTTACTTCTGGTGACCACCAGTCTGCATTCTGTGTCTATGAATTTACTTACTCTGGACATTGCATATAGGTCAAAATAAGTGGCCTTTTGTGTCTGGCTCCTTGCACTTGACACAATGTTTTCAGGGTTCATCCCCGCTGTAGCATGTGTCGGAACTTCATTCCTTGGGATGGGCTGAACAGTATTCCATTGCATGTATATACTAGAATATGCTTGGTTTTTATTTTATTTTTTATGTTTGTGGTAAAATACACATAACAGAAGGCTTACCATTTTAATCATTTCTAAGGGTATAGTTCTGTGGCATTAAATACATTCAGACCTTTTTCATCTTGCAAAACTGAAACCTTATACTCATTAAACAACAACTTCCTATTCCCTCCTCCCCAGCCCCCGGCAACTACCATTCTACTTTCTGTCCCTAAGAATTTGACTATTTTAGATATCTCATATAAGTGGGATCATATGGTATTTGTCCTTTTGTGACTGGGTTTTTCACTTAGCATAATGTCCTCAAGGTTCACCCATGTTGTAGCATGTGACAGGATTTCCTTTTTTAAGGCAGAATAATGTTCCATTGTATGTACATACCAATTTTTTTTTTTTTTTATCCATTGCTGATGAACACTTGGGTTGCTTCCATTTCTTGGCTATTATGAATAAAGCTGCCGTGACTGTGACGTGCAAGTATCTCTTCTTCAATACTCTGTTTTCAATTCTTTTGGATATTATACTCAGAAGTAGAATTTCTGGATCATATGTTAAGACTATTTTTAAGTTCTGAGGAACCAGAATTTACTTGTTTTTAAAATTAATGTTCTGCCTAACTCTTTCCTAAAAATATTTTATGCAGAAGATGCCAGTAAGAATGTTAAATGTTTTTTTTTTAAAAAAATGCTTTGAAGTTCTCATAGAGGAAAGGCAAAAACCTCAGTATAAAAAACCTAACAAGTGGAATCCTGGAGACCATTTGGAGGTCAATTTCCAGAACAATGCCTCAGTACAGATCCTTGGCTAACAGCCAGTGCCTGGGTCCCTTGGAGTCACAATTACAAGTTACTGGCATGGCCTGGACACCTGTTTGTGCTGTGGCCACTGGATGGAGCTTTATTTTTGTCCAGACCTTCCTATGAAACACTTTCTCTAGCAGAAGCATAACGAGTAAAACTGGAATGAAGCCATTCCACTAAATAACCACATCAGTGAATTTCCTCCCCTCACTCAACAAACAAAAACATCCTGTGGTTTTACAGGCTCAATCATTCGAACCCACCCACAGCAGCACCTACAGAAGCTCTCCACCTAGACACACATGGATTACAGTCCAGAAAGGCCAGTATATGGTGGGTGTGTGCCAATGTATAACATTTCTTTCTTTCTAAAAATTGCTTTCTCACCTACTTTAATATAAGAACAGTGCTCTAAGTAATCAGTAAATATCGAGCATCTATTATATGCCCCTAAACTCCCCCAGGGCTGGGTCTTTACCTGTATTTTTAGGCACTTCTTAGTTTCTGGATTAAAAAGGAGGCTTTCTGTAGACATTTGCTGGAGCACCTGGCTTCTCCCCTCCGGCTGGGAAAAGCTCTCTCCTGGGTGTCCTGCCTCTGCCCAGACCTGCTCCCAGCTCTGCAGAGAGCTCTCACCACAGACCAGCTTCTCTTCTCAGGTGGATGTCAGCCTTTGGCAGATCTCTGAGACTTTCTGAACTTCAGTTTTCTCAACTGTCAAAAGAGAGGGTAAATGAGAAACAGTCTCAACTCCGACAACAAATGCAGTATTAAACAACTGACCACACCATCGTATTGGGCAGTCATTTTTTTTAAAAAAAAGTGGGTCACATATTTTACATCTATTGTCAGGAACATGAAAATAAAATTTGTGGAGATAGAAATGTTTGAAAATAAATGAGAGGGTAGCCCTAGCTGCGGTGGCTCAGTTGGTTGAGTGTCCTCCCATGCACCAGGAGGTCACTGGTTGGATTCTGGGTCAGGGCACAAGCCCCGGTTGTGGGCTTGATCCCCAATAGAGGACATGCAGGAAGCAGCTGGTCAATGTTTCTCTCTCTCTCTCTTCCTCTCTCTCTTTAAAAATCAATAAAAACATATTTTAAAAACCTGCTATAAAAAAAGAAAATAAATGAGAGGGTAAACCTGGTTGATCACTAGGTTCCCTTTTGGCTTAAGAACTGATCAGCCACAGAGGCCCCACCAAACATGGAATTTGGCATCCCAAACTTAAAATGTGAATTTTCTTTGACCCAGTAACTCCACTTCTAGGATTTTATCCTAGGGAGAAAACAACCAACCAAATAAATACTTGTAAGGTACATGTAAAAGAATACATATTGCAGAGATATTTCTAGAACATAACAGTGAAAACACTTTAGATGTTGCTAAATGGGGGGCTGTGTTTGTAAACAAGCCACAATCCACACAATAGAATCCTGTGCAGCCATTAAGAATGTTGCTGTAGTAATTTATCTATAGATATGACGGAAGGAAGTGAAGAAAGGCAAGTGACACAACAGCATGTATGTATAATTTGGCCCCGTTCATACTGAATACATACTTTCATATGCACATATTCACATATATATACACATATATACATATATGTGTACATATATGTATATGTGTGTGTGTGTGTATATATATGTGTGTGTGTGTGTGTGTAAGTCTGAAAGGAAATACAGTATGATGTTCATTGCTTTGAAGTGGTAGGCCCATTAAAGGTATTTGCTTAATTAGTTAATTTTATGATTTAAGAAAATAATTTCCCAGGAATCTTGTTTGGACCAAGTTGGGGGGTCGAGAATCAAATATATGCACAAATATATTTGTTCGTAGAGCAACATGCTCAAAAGTTCGCTCAGGCCCTTCCAACCCCGCCGTTACCCAAACAAGTGAGCATGCGCGAAACTACGGGGGGGCCGGGCCACCGGCTGGCTCTAGGCAAGGCCTTCCCATTTCTGAATTGAGAAAGTGGCGCAAAGAGTCATGCAAAAAGGTGGGGGGGAAAAATCAACTGCGTTTCTTGAAACAACTGTCTTGCAAGCCGAGCCATAGCTCCGGGGTCCTCGGGGACCACGGGTTGCAGGTCCCGCCCCCGCCCCCGCCCCCCGCGCAAAAAGAAAGGCACCGCGCGCTGCACGGACGCGGGCGCGCGGCGGCCTCTGCGCATNTCCCACCGGCGCCGCCCCCGGCCTGGCGGCGAACCGCCCGCAGTCGGTGCCCTGGTCCCGTCCAGCGTCTCCCTGTCGTCCTCCCCGTCGGCCCCGCGATGCCGGTGGATCTCAGCAAGTGGTCGGGGTCCTTGAGCCTGCAGGAGGTGGAGGAGAGGCCGCAGCACCCGCTGCAGGTCAAGTACTCCGGGGCGGAGATCGACGAGCTGGGCAAGGTGCTGACGCCCACCCAGGTACCGCGGGCCTGGGGCGCAGCCGGNGCCGTTGGCGGGGCGGGGACCGGGCGGACATTCCAGCCCTCTGGCGCCCGATCCACCGAGGGGGGAGGAGGTCGCGGTGCCCACGCTGCAGGCCTGAGGTTACCCGAGCACCGGGAGCTCCGCCCTTGGCGGGCGGGAGCAATTACTCCACTTTCCCGGGACTTCTAGGCACAGGCGGGGTGTAGGCCTGGAACGGCCGGGACCGCGGGGAACGGGCAGGGAGGCGACCCTGCCCAGGAACGACTTGGCCTTGGTCGCACCCCAGAGTCCCCCCACCCGTCTCGGGATTTTAGGTCTCATTTTGGGGAGCGGAGGCCCCACCCGAGGACATGTGACGCATTATGTAACCGGCGACCGTCAGTGCCCAGCCTTTGTGTAGCGGATCAGAGCGCGGTGGTGGCTGTTGCAGGGAACGCTCGAGGGCAGCGGGCTTTGTTTTACTGTTTGGCCTCCGACGCAGGTGGTGGAGGCAGGACCAGGTCCTGGTGGCTGAAAGTGGAGAAACCTGAGTGCCGACCGAGGAGAGCTGTTAGTCACGAAGCCGCGGGCAGTGATGTGATTCAAACCTGCTACCTATGACACTTTCTTGTTTTGGGTGTTTCAATATGAAGTGCCCATCTGGCAGCCTCCCTTTTCCCAGGCTCAATTGTCCAAGTCTCCCCATCTCGGTTTTCTCCTTTTCTGTACACTTAATTCAGATTTCACTTTAGCAGGCCCCAGGTAACCTCCTGGTCATCAAATCTGGAGACCCTGTCCTTTCAGACAGTGTAAGGTTGTTGTTAAAGAGGACTCAGCGCCAGGGTTGAAATCCTGACCCCAGTCTTTCTGTTAATAACATGCTAGGATACCAGCCTTATCGTGTTGTTGGGACTTAAGTAAATAATGTAAAGAGTACATGAGACTTCAGCTTCTGATGCTTAGTAGTCAAATACACTGCAGCTTTTATTAATAATCTACTCTGTTGGGAATCTGAGTGTTGGTTTCTTTAGCATCCCTGACTTTTTAAACTCCAAACTGGTTCCTTCCTACAGGTCAAGAACCGGCCCACCAGTATTACATGGGATGGCCTTGATCCAAGTAAACTATACACCTTGGTCTTGACAGACCCGGATGCTCCAAGCAGAAAGGACCCCAAATATAGGCAAGTTGGTGAACTGTGGGCCATCCACATATGAGCTGGTGCTTCTTGTGCTGTGTATGCCCTTCACTGGACGTGCTGTGCCAGTAGACCCGGTTTGGGATGTTCATATACCTGCTTAAGCCAGAGTGTGCATTTCTGGCCTCTTCACTTCCTAGGGTGGGAGACCAGAAACTGCAGCTGAGAGACAGATCTGCCTGTGGCCTGTTTTTGTACAGCCCATGAGCTAAGAATGGTTTTTACATTTTTAAAAATATATATATCTTTATTGATTTCAGAGAAAGGAAGGGAGAGGGAGAGAGGTAGAAACATCAGTGATGACAGAATCATTGATCAGCTGCCTCCTGCATGTCCCCTACTGGGGATTGAGCCTGCAACCTGGGCAGGTGCCCTGACTGGGAATTGAACAGTAATCTCCTGGATGCTAGTTCGATGCTCAACCGCTGAGTCATGCCTGGCTGGACGGTTTTTACATTTTTTAATAATTGGGGGAAACATTGAAGAAAAAAGAATACAGCGTGACATCTGAAAATTAAGTGAAATTCAAGTTTCAGTGTCCATAAAGAAAGGTTTCTTGGAATACAGCCATGATAACTTATTTAAATCTTGTCTATGGCTGCTTTTCATACTACAGCCAGGAAGTCAAGTTATTGTGACAGAGACAGTAGAGACTGCAAAGCTGAAAACATTTACTCTCTGGCTCTTTACAGAAAGTTTGCAGACAATCTCAGAGGGAGGGAGGTGCTGAGTCATCTCTTTCGCAGACACCTTAGGTTTGTGATGGCCAAGAAAGTAAGACTGGCCTGTTCATCACTGCCTCCTGGCACTGAATGTGGGCTTCATGCATGTTTGTTGGCGGTGCAGTGAGTGCGTGCTAATTTCCCATGGTGTTGATTGGCCCTGTAACCTCTCATAGGGAATGGCACCATTTCCTCGTGGTCAACATGAAGGGCAACGACATCAGCAGTGGCACAGTCCTCTCCGATTATGTGGGCTCTGGGCCTCCTAAAGGCACAGGTTAGTAAAGGCTGCTTTTAGGGGGATGTGGGAGGGGAGCCTGGGTGCACATTAGGATTGGCTGCAGATTTTAGTCTGATTGTTAGAGCTTTATTTTTATTCCCAAGAGCCCTTACCCTAGTGGAGGTTTCCGGTAGTGTAGTTCAGGCAGTAGAATCATGTGGCTAGAACCTTGGGTTCTTGTTAGATGGTCTGTTAGCGTTGCCTCTAGGCTGCTAAGCCTTTAGTAAGCAGGGAAGTGTGCCGAGAAGATACCAAGGAAGCATTCTTGCAGAATGCTTGACATGGCTTCCTAGAGGGGGCTGCACATAGATTGAACACAGTTAAACCATCTGTTTTCAACCTTGGCCCTGTGGGATCTGTGAGCTTTTAGTTTCCATAAAAGATCTCAGAAATGATTGTAGTTTCCAAATTATTAAAAATTGACTTCTTTATAGCTTCCCTTTTCTCTCAAAAATCTAGTGCTGTATTTTGAAAACATTCAGCCCTCTCATGCATTCATAAAAAGGAAGGTACAGGTAGGTCTTTCTCAGGGATCTATTAAGTTCTCTAGGGCAGTTATAAAATGAGGCAGTTTAATTATGGTAAGTACACACATGAGAATAAAGCAATTCTCTCAAGTAGGAACTGTGTTCTCATTAACAAAAAAAGCCTCAGTAACTCACTTTTTTTTTGTTTTACTTTTTCCCCATATTCTTTTAATAAGGTGTAACTTAAATATAATAGAGCACACAGTTTAAACAGTGAATACTGATCGATGCATGCACCTTTTTAAGTTACCTTTTCCCAAAGCTAGCCATTTTCTGACACCTCTCTCCACGATTACTTTTGTATTCATAGAAGTGATATGCGGTATGCATTTGTTTTGGGTGATTGGTCTCTTTCACTCGAGATCATGTCTGAGATTCATCCATGTTACTGTTTGTATCAGTAATTTATTCCTTTTCATTGAGAAGTGGGATTCCAGTGTGTGGATATACCCCAGTTCATGCAGCCGTTCTTTGTTAATGGGCATTTGGGCTGTTTCCGGTTTTGGGATATTATGAATAAAGTTGCTGCACACATTCAGGCCCCTTGTCTCCCAAGGAATTAAGTCTTGGAGGTAGAAAGGTCTTGTTCTCCAGTAGCCTGTGTAGGCATGATTGTGGTATGACAGGCACCTGGTCAGGGATTTGCTGTGCCCTTCATCCATTTCTCTCCTATTTTTTATGTGCCAGGCACTAAGTAGGGTAGGTTCTAGGGTGATTATGGTCAACAGGACAAGCACCGTAGCTTTATGGGGCTCTCTTTCCAGTGAGATGATGAAATTAAAAAGAATTTCAGATAGCCATGTTACTGTGAACTGGAGTAAAATGGGCGTCCTCGTGGCACTGGTGGGAAATGGCTGGTGATCAGCTCCTCCTGGAGGTGGGCGGGAATCCTGGAGTGGATGAATGGGGAGCAGAGAGCTGTAAGAGGGGTGGGCCAGGGCCAAATCCTGTAGTCCTTAGAGGCTACAGTGCAGGGTGCGGACTTGAGACCAGTTGCAGTGGAGTGACCCTGGATGGTTTTCAGCAGGTAAGGGACTCATTCTTCCTGTTTGGGTTCTCAATGTCCTTGTAAATGGGATGATCTGGGTCCCTCCCAGTTGGCACATTCTGTGAAAATGGATGATGTCTCCATCGGATGCCTAGCTGTGCGTATATCTTCCCCCCTGCCTCTCCCTCCAGGCCTTCACCGCTACGTCTGGCTGGTTTACGAGCAGGACAAGCCGCTGAAGTGTGACGAGCCCATTCTCAGCAACCGATCTGGAGACAACCGTGGCAAATTCAAGGTGGCGGCTTTCCGCAAAAAGTACCAGCTTGGGTCCCCAGTGGCTGGCACGTGTTACCAGGCCGAATGGGACGACTATGTGCCCAAGCTCTATGAGCAGCTGTCTGGGAAGTAGGGGAAAGCCAGGAGACAGACATCGCCCCGGGGGCCCCAGCCAGTGTTCTCAAGTTCCGCGATGCATGTAGATCTCTCCTCTTCCCTGTCCCCATTCCCAAGGGCGAGACCTGAGAGATAGTGGTGTAGGGTGCCTTTTCCTTCTGTTTACCCTTTATGATTGTACAGGGTTAAATACCCTCGTTTATGTTTTGATCAACTTTGAACTCCATTTTGGGGGCTATTTCGGTACTGTGATGGTCATCAGATTGTTAACATAAGGACAGCAACCCAGAATTTAAAGGAGAAAAAATTTAGGTAAGAAGAACAAGTCTACAGTAATAGTGTAGACTCATTGCCTCTGCGTTTGTGAACCCGAATCCAGAACTGTGCATGGTGGCATATTCTGGGATGTGTTTTCACAGCCCTGCCTCTCACCAGACAACCAGAGGCTGGCATATCCACTAAGCCCCAGTATGGTACATCTCAGATTGGTTACTAGGTGGCAGTATCCTGTTCTCGCTCCTTTGAAGAGCAGTACTGGAAAAACCAATAGGGAGAGTCACTTTCCTGTGGAGGCACAGCCGTCTAGATGAGCTGCAGGGCTGAGTGAGTGGTTATCAGAAATCTGTTAGTCTGTACCTGTTAAACTGATCACCCTTCATTGGTGTAACAGAAGCCGGAGTTGCTGAATGTTGTGTTAATTCTGTTTGCTTATAGTTGAATAAAAATAAAAAACATTGTATGAACAAACTGGGCCTCCAGATTTTTGCCCTTTTGGATATGGGGTTTCAGAAACGTGGGATGTGAAGAGTGAATACTCTTCCTTGAAGGGTGAATATCCCCTTTCCCTTGCCAGCGGAAACAACTAGGAGTTGATTCAGGGACCATACAGAGGGCTCACACTTACACACGTGCCATTAAACTATAGCAGGAACAACCATTTAAACTTGAGGGTTTTTTTAAAGAAAATCACAAAGCTTAAAGCATCTTTGCTTTTTGTAAGTGGTGCCCCATGATGTAGCTGTGTGCATATACTATAACAATTGGCTAAGAAATAGCCTACACCTCTCCTTGTTCTGACTTATAATCCACATAGAATCAATACCAAAGGGGAAGGGGGGCAATAGATCATTCACAACAGTCGATGTACCAAAACAAAGGAAAGGGGTTTGAAGGTCCATATCACTGACCTGGTCTGTGATGGAAATGGGGATCCTGAATTAGGCCTGGCAGGTGCTAAGCAGGGGTGGGCTTTCCCCCACCTTTCACTGCTGTACTTCTCTGGAAAACTGTTAGAAACGTTGCCTCATATGATCTCTGGGGGCAGATAAGGGAGAGTAATTTTTTTTAACTTCAGGAGTTTAAAAATCATATTTTATAAAACAGAAGTTGTAAAGAAAACAACAACCCTGCTGACCTTAAAGATAAATGTGAAAAGTATTGCACATGGTTAGACAAGGCAAACAGTACAGGAAGAGAATGCTTTTCCTCTTCCTGTCTGAATTACAGTTTCCAGTTTTTTTCCAGAGGGAAATGTAAATATTGATAACAGTATATTTACATATTTATCCTTAAAAAATTAGTCTTGGTATACAAAAAGCAAGACAGTTTTGCTCTGTCTTTCCCCAGCTAATATACCTTCATGCAGCTTACCTTCAGTTAACACATCAGCACAGTTCATGTCATTTTTAACAAATATTCTATTTTATGGGTGTTTCATTATTGACCAGTCTAATTCCCTACTGTGATTAGATTGTTTCTGGTTATTTGCTATTATAAACAGTGCTTCAGCAAACTTTTTTTATGTGTATAAAATATTTTTGCAAGCAATTTGGTGGAATAACTTCCTAGCATTGAAATAGTTCAAAGGCTATATACATTTTCAATATTGATACAAACCACCCTCTAAAAAGATCATACTGATTTTATTCCTGTCAATGGTATAGAAAAGTAACTTTTTCCATACCCTTACCAGTTTCCTCAAACTTTGAGCACTTGACAATTTGATATTTATGTATGTTTAAAATCACTGTTTCTCTAAACTTTTCTTTGAGACTTTTGTTAACTGCAGTACTTTTTAATTTTTTAAAAATATGTTTTTATTGATTTCAGAAAGTGGGAGAGGGAAAGAGAAATATCAATGATGAGAGTCATTGAAATTGGAAGTTAAAGTGACCTTGCCCCAGGGCACCTCTCCTGGAAGCAGGTGCTCCAGGTCCAGAACCCAGTTCTAGCCTCAAAACCCAGTTCCTAACCACGACGCCCCCTTACAAATTCTCTTTGAGGTTCAGCCTCCACGTGTGACAAATGGGTGGGGAGGAGCATTCTGCCATATTTACTTCACAGGGTTGTTGGAGAGCAATGATTTTTGTTGTTGAGATTAAGTGAATTAATACATGTAAATGATTAACTTGACCTGATTGACAGGTAGGAACCAAACTTGACCCGATCAATACATAGGAACAAAGTCTACAGTCGCTTTCCTCAATGCTGCTTCCTGCCTGGCTACAAATTTACCAAAAGTGTGTCTCTTAAGGGTTTAGAATGAAGGGACACAGGAGTTTACTCTCTCAGTACAGCTTCAGCAGCCTCTCCAGACCCCAGGGTTTCTAACCAACTCTGGACCCTTCATGACAGAACATACGCTGAACATGGCAATTACTCTGGAAGGCCCTAAATTAAACCCTGATGAACAGACGAGACCAGATCTCAGAAACACAGCATTGATATCTCTCTAATTCTTAAACATTCACAGTACGTGGCCTAAATCATCTTCTCGATCAGGGAACAAGGGACATACTCTTCTATATTGTGTACTTAAAATTCTTCAGCAGTTTACAGTTGCTCTGGGATACAGACCAGATTCTCAACATGACCTGTCAGATTCTACGATTTTACCCCCATTAGCCTCAGTTAATTAGAGGCCGCTGGTAAGCATTCTCTGACCCCCTCTGTGACTCGGAATTGTTACAGCTCCGTCACACCCCCAGTCCTTGCATTGTTGCGCCTCCTGTTACTCCACTGTGGATTAACCTAGTCTACTGCCAAGTTACTTCTGTTTCAGTAGAGATTTAAACCATGAGCTCCAGCAGAGTAGTGACCCCATTATCTTATTTACTGCTATGCCCCCAGGCACACAGTAGGTGCTCAATAAATACTTCTTGAATGAATGGATGCGTGTATGCTGATCCTGGCACTTCTAATCTCCCTTCTCTACTTCCTCCTTTATCTATAGCACTTATTACCAAGTTGGATCGTTTATTTACAATTATTGTGTTATCAGTTTCCTCCCACCCACCCCAATGTAGCTCCATTAGGGCAACGATCTTTATCTGTCTTGAGATACATGTATCTCAAAAATCTGGCCTGGCACCTGACATATAAGGTACTCAGTAAATATTGAAGGAGTCATTGCAAATCGAAGGGAAGCAGCCTTTACTAATATGTAGGATGAACCTGTAATCATTCTTTTCTTTTTGACTGAGGGGAGTTTAGTGTATGCTGAAATTATAGGGCCCTGGCTCTCTGCTGCTGTCCCAGCACCTTTCATACCTGTTCTCTTGCTGCCATTCTGATCCTTGTCTATTCTGCCTCCTCCTGAAGGTACTGACAGTTGGAAGACTCAGTCTGTCCCAGGTGACAGGGCCCACGTTCCTTCCTTCCGGTGACTCGACCTCAGAACACATCGCTGAAAAACTTGTGGAGAGGGGAATTTTGTAAAGATCAGCACCTATCATCTCACAGACATGAGCCTTTGCACAAGCTAGCTAGACATGTTCCACTATCGAGAGAAATGGATGAAAGAGACTTGAAGTTTTTCTGCCTATGGAAGACTTAATGTCCTGATTGGCAGTGCGACCTGTGCTTAGGAGTGTGTGTTCTGAAGTCAGACACGTCTCGATTCAGTCTCCACCAGCACCACTTGCCCTGGTCTGAGCTTATTTCCTCATCTGTAAAATGCTTAGTGCCCCACCACATGGTTAAGCGTAAGCATGAAATACAGGCTATTTCTCATGGGTAATTATGAGTCTTCTTTCCAGCCCTTCCCACTATTATTTTCTGCTGTGCCTAACATAGAAACTTCAATGAACTAAGCTGCTTAGGAAACCAGGTGGTAATTATTAATGGCTTTATGGTTGGGCTTAACCCATGTGGATACTTATTTTGTATTTTTTTGAGTACACCTCTCTGCTGTAGTCTATTACAGTGAACATGACTGGTCACACGGGTCTGTGACGACCGAATATCCTGTAGGATACAAGAGTCATCTTCAGGTCGTCATGCTCAGGCTCAACATCCGGACTTAGAACCCTAAGAATATGAGATCTTACTGAGATTATCTTAACCCCAAAGCCGTATTCTAGCAGTTATATATTTTACTACCTCATTGATATGCATATAACATTGCTATTTTTTAAATATATCTTTATTGATTTCAGAGAGGAAGGGAGAGGGAGAGAGAAACATCAATGATGAGTCATTGATCAGCTGCCTAATGCACGCCCCCTACTGGGGATCGAGCCAGCAACCCGGGCATGTGCCTGACAGGGAATCGAACCTCGATCTCCTGGATCCTAGGTTGATGCTCAACTGCTGAGCCATGCTGGCTGGGCAACATTATTCTAATAAAAGCAAAATATGAGGGGTGGGGGATCTATTACAGTGGGATCATTTAAAATATTTGGCTATAATGTCTTCTTCATAGACTGCCTTTCTTTAAGGGTGCCCAACTTCTCAGCAATACGTACTGCTACACACGACTGGCACATTGGTGTGTATGTGTGTGTGTGTGTGTGTGTGTACATGTGCCTTTTTCTATTCTTAAGGGCAAAAAGGTGCCATTGACCACTTCAACCTGTGCAACACTATCGTCAATCCTGTAGAAGAACTTGGAAGACACGGCTTTACCTGAGAATCTCGAATGGCTCTTCTCGGAGCAACCAGGGCTACGGAGAATGGTTTCTGGAGGGTGGCTTTCCATCTGAATCATGAACTGGTAAACCTAGAAGGGAAGCTTCCTGCTACAATAACACAGCAAGGCGGTGTGATGAACACTTTTATTTACAAATATAATTAAAAGCTCTGACAGTTATCATGCTCTTCCTTGGAACCTGAAAAATGTTTGTTTTTTAAAGTGCATGCAAAAGAAGTAAAGCCTTTTTTTTTTCATCATTTTTTATTGTAAGAAAATACACAGTTTGAAAGTGTGAATAATGCAATATTTATGACCAAGATATGGGACTTAGGGAGGGGAAGGGAAATAAAGAAAAAGATCAAGATGATCTGACTGAGAGACAGTGTTGAACTCCAAATACTGAATTGGAAAAGGGAGGGAGGGGGGGAGGAAGTAAAAAAATTTGATCAGAGAAACAGTTAAAATACAATATGAAAATAAGTAATACCTCTCCTTAAATTCCTTCTATACACAAAATACACGATTTGCCAAAGCCCAATTTGTGCTACTGGGATTCTGTGAGCTCCTTAAGTGTATTCACATCCTCTGCAACAGCAGAAAATGATTATGATACAATCAGAATATGCTGAGGACAAGTTAAACTCTTGCCAGCAGGTTCTTAAAAATCACAA